TATTGAGGACAATCACTTAATCAGTCATTTTGACTTAAACATCAATCACCATGAGTTTTCTGCTACAGGACATCTTCATGATCTACCTCTGGAGCTGGGACACACAGCGAGGGGACATGGAGAGGTGCTGCCCAGATCTCCCTTCAAGGACTTGTTGCCCCAGCTGCTGGAAGTGCTGCTAGTGGGCAACCTTCAGCCACCAGCCCTTCGGGGAGAATCTATATGCAATGACCAATCAAGGTGGAGCTATAAAGTCCTAGCCATTGGCCCATGGCAGGACAACCCTGATGAGACATCTTAGTCCCAGAATCACCAGTGGGGTCAGCTAAGGTCGTCTGGCCAGCATTCCAGCTTGCTTCTTCCCTCTTGATACCACAGGTGTTTCTCCCAAGGGCACCCCCTCATAAAGACCCCAAATACAAAACACCATCTCAAAATCTGCATCCCAGAGAACCAAACTGCAACACGTATCAAAAAAGACTTCACTACTTGGGGAGGATTGTTATTTGAGACTTATTATATACATACTTAACATTTATTTCTAAATCCTAAAATGAAATATAAAATGGCAGACACAAGGACTCCGTGTGCGTGAATGTGGTTACCCATTGGTTTAAAATCCACAATTTGATAAGGATCCACATGCCCATTAAAATGCATAAACTACATTTTGTGGAAATTCATGAATTTATTGCAATTCTTGAGGAAAACTAACTATTTTTCAGTCTGTACTTGTGGAATAATGTAGTCCATAACTTTTATGGAATAGAATGGAATTTCCTTTTTTTGACACACACATTCAATCTTCAATAAATGAACTTTTGAGAATTACGTCATTTGGTGACTAAACTGGGTTGACCATAAGCATGGCTTTTAGAATTTTTTGTTTTGTTTTGTTTTAATTGGAACTTTCTTAGTTTTCTTCATTCCAAGTAAAGATTTCTTTCCTTTTAGTCAAACATAAGTTCATTCATTCCCTGAACTACATTAGAGGAATTACAAGGAAGTTTTTTGTTGAGATGTGGTGTCCAGGCATCACGCAATTTTCTAGGTAAAAATGTAAACTGAAAACACTCCGAAACAGAATTGATTGTGGAAAGTGACTTACAATTCAGGTGTTAAATCTAACATAATTCAGGGCATGAGATTCTGAACATCATTAAACTTTTCAGAATTTGACATGAAATAAATACTCAGGTTTGAGAAGAGGGGCTTCTAACATCTCCAGTGAAACCCTCTGAAAGAAAACCACAGATTTTCATTGGCTTATATCGAGACAAATTAATCAGCTGATAAGTTAACAACTCACCAAATCGTCACAATAGTTAAGTCTAACTCACTGCTTCATTGAATTGACTTAAATTGTTTCTTCACAAGACACCAACCATTTATGGTGTCATTAAAAGTATTAAGCATTAGATTGATTTTTGTTTGTATCTTTCCCAGTAGTGGAGATTAAAAAATGAAGAGGGCAGGAGGAAACCTTTGGAGGTGATGGGTATGTTTATGGCATAGATTGTGGGATTGGTTTCCCGAGTATATACTTACCTCCAAAACTCATCAAGTTGTATAAATTAAATAAGTACAGCTTTTTGTACATCAATCATAACTCAATAAAGTGGCTTAAAAAAAACCCAGAACCCAGAAAAACCTTATGGTTCTTCTTGTATTTTTCCTGCAATGGAAGAGAGGAAGTGGGATTTATTTTATTAATTGGTTAGAGAAAAAAGTAGACCTTGACTACTCATGTGTCAAGAGCTTCAAATGAGGTCATTTGCTACGGGCCACAGGACACCCCGTGAACAGCCTCATATTTTAAGAAATCAGCAGAAATAACTTCCCAGATGCAGACTATTCACTTTTAAAGATTTTATTTATTTTTTTATTTTTTCCCCCCAAAGCCCCAGTGGATAGTTGTATGTCGTAGCTGCACATCCTTCTAGTTGCTGTATGTGGGACTCGGCCTCAGGATAAACGGAGAAGTGGTGCCTCGATGCGCACCCGGGATCCGAACCCGGGCCACCAGCATCGCAGCGCGCGCACTTAACCACCAAGCCACAGGGCCGGCCCAGACTATTCACTTTCAGACGGAGCCACTGAATTTGAATGAGATTCTAAAAGTAAAACAAGGCTGAGAAAACTTTTAGGTGACTCAATTGTGAAGGATGACATGCAGAAGAGCACAGCAAATGAATGAAGAGCCCAGTGAATACTGATCAACCACCACCCAGCCAAAAAAATACATTTTAAGCATCCTAGAAGCTGCCCTTTTATTTCTTCCAATACCAACACCTTCCACCTCCCCAAAGTGAAGCACTGTTCTGACTTTGAACACTATTGTTCAGTTGTAACTATGTTTGAACTTTGTATAAAAGGAATCATAAATATTCTTTTGGGTCAGGCTTCTTCCGTTTGTGAGATTCACCGGTGTTGTTGCTGTAGTAGTATCGCTCTTGTTGCTGTGGAGTATTTTCTTACATCACAGTTCATTTTCCTGCTGCTGTTGAGCATCTGGATTATTTCCAGTTTGGGGCTATCAGGAATTGTTTCTACCAGCATCCTTGAACACATTTCTTGGAGCACATGTGTATAGGCTTGGAGTAGAATTAATAGGTCACAGGGTGTGCAGCTGGAGTAAATGCTGTCAGACTGTTTTCCAAAGCCGTTTTTTCAATACACACTTTTTTTATACACTCAGCAGTGCATGTGAGTTCCCACTGCTCCATTGGCACTCAACTGGTCTTCTCAATCTTTTTAATTTTAGCCATTCTAGTGGGTGTTTAGTGGTATCTCGCTGTGGTTTTAATTTGCATTTCCCTGATTACTAAGAAGAGTGAGCACTTTCCTATTATTGGCCATTTGGATCTTCTCTTTTGCGAAGTGCCTATTCAAGTCTCTCATCCATTTCTCTAATTGGGCTTTCTGTGTTTTTCCTAACGAGTTTTAGGAGTTCTTTATGTTCTACGGTACCTTCTCAGACTGAATTCAGTCTGCATCAGAATCACCTTTAGGGCCTTTAGACACAGCTTACTGGTCCCCACCACCAGAGTTCTCAGACTTCAGTCTGCATCAGAATCACCTTTAGGGCTTTTAAGACACGGCTTATCGGTCCCCACCACCAGAGTTTCTGATTCAGTGGATCTGGAGTGAGATACAAGAATCTGCATTTCTAACAAGTTCTCAGGTGATGCTGATGGTCCAGGGAGCACACTTTGAGAACTATTGTTCTGTAAGCGTTTTTTTGTTTTTTTGGTGAGGAAGATTGGCCCTGAGCTAACGTCTGTTGCCAGGCTTCCTCTCTTTGCTTGAGGAAGATTGTTGCTGAGCTAACATCTCTGCCAATCTTCCAATCTTTCTCTATTTTGTATGTGGGCCACAGCATGGCTTGATGAGCAGTGTGTAGGTCCGTGCCCCAGATCTGAACCCATAAACCCAGGGGCCCTGGAACGGAGCGCATGAACTTAACCACTACCCCACCAGGCCAGCCCCTCTACAGTGTTTTAAATGTAGCAGCAATAGAAGTTTCTTGTTAGTTTAGGGCAAAGTCACCTTTCAAAAAACAAAAGCTTTAACAAATTAATACTTGCTCAAGTCTGGGGCATAAGCTAATACTCTCCCTTCCTGGAAGGGGTGCTACTGGTCTTGCTACAATGGCAATTGTTTCAATCTGTCTGAAACCCATCTATCTGCTCAGAATATTTGGTACACCTAATTAGCTAAGAGAACCAGTTGATAATGGAAGATATTTTTTGATCTCAGGAAGATTCACTGGCTTTCAACAGCAAAGACACAAGTCAGTTATCCCTCTAAGAACAAAAATACAGATTTCTGAATGGAAATGAAAACTGTCATTTATTTCAATTGAATTTCATTTCATTAAAAAAAATTCTATGATGATGTTAAAACAGAAATAAACATTTATTTAACTGCCTTTAACCTCTAAAACCAAATAAACACACACATTTCAAATATTTTCACTGTTTTAACAAACCTCATTATTATCATTGTCATGTCAGTCTCCTGAAATACTAACCATGACTATTAAACAATTTACTGGACTAAACATTAACTGTATTATTTCTAATAACAAAGAGTGGAACAGCTACTGTACTCAATGTATTTTGGTAGCTTGCTGTGTGTGTGCTTTTTAAGGCTTGGTTCTATAAAACATCTGTTTTCCTCTGTTGAAGAGTCCCAAAACCCGCCCTATGAAGGCACATGTGGTAACATAACGCAATTTGAGTGTAGTTAGACCTTATTCTGAGAGGTCATGGGAGTCCACTTAAAATTCCAACAGGAAAACCTTTAGTAACTTGAATTCAACAGACCATAGCTGCCACCATCAAGAAAAACTAAAGATCCATAGTTCAAATACAGTAGAGAGGGCCCTAGGAAGTACTGTGGTTTGCTGATTCACTCATCAGAAAGACCTACAACAAACTGCTCTTAGTGGTCAGGAGTAAAGTGACCTGGGCAGGCTCATGACAGTGAACCTTCTGCACCCATCCTGAGAACATACTACATAATTAGAGTCAACGTTTGCAGGGACTTGCGGTTCTTGTCACCAAGTCGGGAAAGCCTATGCATGCAATTTGGAAAGGATTTCAGTAAAGGCTTAAACCAAAACGCTTATAGTCAACAGAGGGTTAACCATCAGTAAATCAGAAATCCAAATAGGAATACTACTTCCTATTCAGGAATGACAGCCATTTGGCCTTTTTTGAAAATATTGCCAGGCTGACTCTAAAACTACAGCGGTTACCATGGCAGAGTCATGCAATCTAAAAGTCGATCGATGATCACACTTGTGTCCTTCACTATCAAATCGCCTATAAGGGCTCCTATTTTGAGAATGCATTATTTTTTCTTCCTTCTCTTTTAGTACAATTAAATATTGTCCTTCTGTATTTTAACCATATATCTTTTTGTGTGTGGCGGGGGGGGGGGGGGGGGGATTGTAGTCTCTCCCTACTATAATGTCACTGAAACTAAAGTATATTTTTTTGTTTTTCCTATTAGTTTTACCTGTACTATTTTAACCAGAGGTCTTTGGGGAAAATAACGGATCCTAGTTATGTTAAGGAAAGTGGCAAGACAAAATGGCAACTTCACACAGTCTTCCAGTAAATAGAATACCTGATAAAACTGGAAAGTAATATGTAATTTTGGGGGCAGTAAAAAAAAAAGTCTGTGACAATTTTATCTTATACCTTACAAAATGGGCTTTGGCTCTGGGGTCTCTTAAGGCACAAAACCTGGTAGACAGTTTTTACGGGTGGCCTGCACCTCTGATTTGGATAAGAAAAAAAATACTATAACATATAAATAAAAATAATAAATCATTTTGTTAGAGCTTGAAATCACTGGGTGAAGGTGGAGGAAAAATCCAAATCAACTAACATCTTTTATGTGTAAATATTTGTTGCTAGTGTCAAAAAAGGACAATCTAGTTTACACAGTGCAAAAACGATTGGAATAATGCCTTCAGAATAGACTTGACATTGTGGCAGAATCACAGCGCTGTCTCAAAAATAGTGAAGCCTGAGGGCTGCCCATTGGAAGCGTTCATAACCACATGACCATTTTGAGTAATATCTGGATAATTCCTTTTGAAGTACACCTGTTAAAAAAAAAAAAAAAAGACAAGCATAAAAAGAACATGTTTAAAAGTTTTAAAGTCCTCCTCCCTGAAGCAATGCATTTCTATGTCCACTTCTTCATGTGAAGCCAATCATATATCACTAGTGGAGGCACAATTTAAAAAACAAGGATGTATTTATTCTACCGAGGAAGTAGCCCCATTAAAACCCTCATCAGGGCCGGCTCTGTGGCTTGGCGGTTAAGTGCGTGCGCTCTGATGCTGGCGGCCTGGGTTCGGATCCTGGGAGCGCCCGGAGGCACCACTTCTCTGTCCAACGCGAGGCCGAGTCCCGCGTACAGCAACTAGAAGGATGTGAACCTATGACATACAACTATCTGCTGGGGTTTTGGGGGGAAAAAAATGAATAAATAAAATCTTTAAAAAAAAAAAAAAAAAAATATCTGCTGGGGTTTTGGGGGGAAAAAAATGAATAAATAAAATCTTTAAAAAAAAAAAAAAAAAAACCCTCATCGGGGGCTGGCCTTCATGCCAAACAACCTGTAGATCCACTTTACTTCTGATTATTCTGATTCATAGATATGTTTTATCACTACATTAAATTGATAAGCAAAATCATTTTACTGACTCAAAACCTGGAGATAAATTAAAAACAGGATGACAAAGAGGCTGGGAAATCTAGCGTCTGCACAAGGGTTTCTCATTTTCACACATAAAATGAGCACAATAGATGTGGATGTTAATATCAGGTTGTAATCCCTATATTTTATAAACTCTGATTGACAAGCATTGAAACGCTGGCGTCTATGTAAGAAATGTCCCGGTGTTTAATTTGTGCAGCAAAGCAGTTACAGGGCCTATAGAAATGTGATCTGGGGATAGTGGGCCACAATAATGAAAAGAGAAGCAAAAGCTTTAACAATGACTCAACCAAGCAACTTCTCTAATGTAAGATGATACCAAATAATAGGACAGTTCTTTGCCAAGCCTTTGAGTTCTTGAATTCTACCAATTTCTAGCTGAACTAGAAGAGATACAGGTTTTCTGATAAATGTATAATCAGAACATAAAGGAAATGAAATGCTGTCAAGTTTCTCTGTCCCACAGCCACCAGTTTTTAGTAGCTGTATCATATCTCAGTTCCTTGACAGATGCGCAAAACAAAATGAAATAATGTCAAGACTTGTGGGCTCTTATCTCAAAATGTGTTTGGGTGAAAAAGGACTTGAAATGTAATTTTTTTTTTTTTCCCCAAAAGAAGAATGTGCAAGTTTTGTTTGAGTCTTTAAAATAGAAAATGTACCATCTATCTGAGGCTGGCACGTGTCATGAGCTGGTCTCTTAGATTCTGGATCTATTTTATAAAACCTGGCTTCAAATATATTTGTGGGTGCTGTCAACAAAGTCATCATGGGAGATAATGGACTTTACATACAAAAAAAGAAAAGTGCAGGGACACTTACATTCAAATCAAGCCTACTTTCTTTTTCTCTTGTTGCTTGCATACTTGCTACTCCAAAAACATCATTGCATATGAAATACTATCTATTAAAATGTCACTTGAGGAGGAAAATAAATTTTCCAATAATGCTTGGACCCCACTGGGTAAAATCTGAGGCTATTTCCATTATAATGCAAATATTTAAAACTAAGGCCTTTTTGGGGAGCTAATTTCATATCATCTCCCTCCCCCACTTTTTTATGCTAGCCATATTTTGTATGGTTATAAATTTATGTACTCCAAAACAGCTATTTCTTGGTGAAAACTAAAAACAGCCAAAAGAACCAACAGAAACACATTTCATTTTCTACTGCTTGACAGTCCTCCCCAAATAAGCCAGTTCCTTTCCCCATAACCCTCTCAAAGTATTTATTTATTTTTTTTGGTGAGGAAGATTGGCCCCGAGCTAACACCTGTCCTTATCTTCCCCTATCTTGTATGTGGGACGCCGCCACAGCATGGCTTGAAGAGCAGTGCAGTCTGCACCTGAGATCCAAACCTGCGTACCTGGGCCGCCAAAGCGGAGCAAACTTGAACTTAACCACTACACCACCAAGCCAGCCACCCAATGTATTTTTATAAAGAAAATGTTATTATTAGCAACTTTTAACTGAAATGGGCCTTAGCTTCACGGTCTGCAATACTTGAAAATGAATACTGAAAATGAGCTTCCTTGTGTATAAAATCCTTGATTTGACCTTCCTTTTTCTCCCCTGTTGCCCTGTTTTATAATATACTCCACTAACAGTAGAAGCGAGAGAAGGCATCTTTTTGCACAATGCGGGTTATGAAGGTGGTGGAGACAACGGATCACTCATCAGCAGAGTCCTCGGCTAAGCCTTGGATGCAGAGGTCCAGTCCCAGCTCTCTCTCCTGGGTCTCACTGCTGATCCTGGAAAAAAATCACTTAACCTCTCTCCATCCTGGCTGCCTCATCTGTGAAATGAGACAATGGCTTACCTCATAGGAGCTAATTAACGGCTACAAACTGCAGGCTGAAAACACGCCGAGCTAAGCGTGGGGTGTGATTATGAACGCTGCTCAGAGAAGTGGCCCCTTAGTCCACGGAAAGTAGCAGCATCATCTGGATTGAATGATGAAAAAAAAAACATCTGGGAGGCCCTTTTGTGGATCTTGTGATTTTATCTTTACAGAACCCCAGAGTCGTAGTTGAGACACCTTTAATTCAGTGAATATAGTAACCCGGGAGGCAGAAAGGTAGTTAAAAGATTATGGAAGTTGGAGTACTAACACTCACTAACCGGTGACGTTGAGAAGTCACTTAGGCTCCTCTGCCTCAGTTTCTCCATTTGTTAAAAAAGGGATAATAATGGCAGCTCAGAATGGTTGTCAAGAGTGAAGGAAACAATGCCAGAAAAGTTCAAGTTCCAAGCCAGCAGAATATAAGGCTAGTGAGTGTTGGGTTTCTTGTCCCTCTTCCCTTCCTTCTCTTGGGTTTGGTTCACTACAGTTCCTCTAATGTAGACTGAAACTAAGGTATTAAGTATTTAAACTCTAGCTTGTCAATAAAGTCACCATCATGGAATTAGATCGTACTAGAAGCAACAGAGCAATAAAAGCTCCCCTGCATGGATAAAGGCCAGCAACTGAGCTTTTATGTACATTGTATTCATAAGGCATCGTCCAATATGTTCAATTCTGGCTCAAGACTCCGTCAGTTCATTCTCACTGAACTGTACCGCCCTAGTTCAATCCCAGTAACTCTCAAACTCCTCATCTTTAAAACAGGTCTAACTGTGGTGTACATACTGGCAGGTATATTATGAAAGTTAAAGAGTGCTGAAGAGTTAGAGAGGACTTCTGCTTTCAAGTTAATGGAATAATGAATTTTCTCTCCCCTTATCCTCTCAGAAATCACCCTGAACAGTAAGAATACTGGGAGATAAAAAAAACAAGCCCAATCTTTGGTGAAATCCCAAAAGGAAACATACCCAGATGAGCTGCCATATGCAACTGGATCCAGCGGGGCTGTGGCAAGACAGAGAGAGGGTACCTATGGGAGTAGACAGATCTGAGCAATCATGGGAGAGCACAGTTCTCAAACTAACTGGCGAATGCTAAGGTATGTCAACAAGGAATCACAGAATCACCATCTTTGCCTGAAGCATGTACATTGGTGAGGTCCTAGGAGAAGAGAGATTCTGAAATGCAAGTAGCATTGTAACCACCCATCTCTGCAGGTTATGGAGGAATACAGGCTAAATGAACACACATTCTCAATTTCTCTCTCTTGCTTACACACACACAAACACACACACACACACACACACACACACATTCTCTCTCTGGGTTGTAAGGAGCTTCTATGTCAAGCAGAGAGAATTCCTTTTAGCCTGAAACGATGCCCTAGTTACAACTATCCTGTAAATATATAGTGTAGGAAAACCTGACTTAATTCAAAAGTGAGTAGTGGAAATGATAACAAAGAAGTAGTACAGGACCTATAAAACACACAAAGTGAGGAAAAGGAACAAAATAAGCACACGATGGATGAATAAATACTCACTACACAGATGAAAATTATGAAAAAATATAATGTAATACATTCAGAGGAAATGTAGAACAATCAACCTGTGGACAACAGAGATGCCAGAGTAAAGGAAAACATGGCACAGCAACAGAATATGATGGAACATGAATTGACAGAGGTGAAAAGTGAAGTAGAAGAGAAAAATGAAAACATCAAAGAAATGACAGTTCTACTGAAGGCACTAGAAAGATGATTAGCTATTGCTGAAAAAACAGGATGAGACATGGAGGACAGGATTAACAAAGCAAGCAGAGGGGCCGGCCTGGTGGCGTAGCGGTTAAGTTCACACATTCTGCTTCAGCGGCCTGGGGTCCGTCGGTTCGGATCCTGGGCACGGACCTAAGCACCGCACATCAAGCCATGCCGAGGCGGCGTCCCACATACAGCAACTAGAAGGATGTACATCTATCTACTGGGGCTTTGGGAGGAAAAAAGGAGGAAGACTGGCAACAGATGTTAGTTCAGGGCCAATCTTCCTCACCAAGGAAAAAAAAAGATATAATTCTAGTAAACTTCCAGAAATAAAAGATGACTTGAATCTAGAGGCCAAAAGAGTACAGGATGTCCTAGGAAAAACTAATGACCTTCAAAATAAAGAATACTTTGGGAATCCAGGAAAGAAGATCAAGTTAGGGCTAACCTGGCCTTAGACTTCTCCATAAGAATAAACAATGCTAGAAGACTTTGGAGCAGATTACAACAAACTAAGTGAAAGAAAGTGTGAGTCAAGAATTTTATAACCAGCAAATTTAGAGACGCAGCAGTCAAATATTTCAAATGTGCAATAAGTCAGGTATTCTAGTTCCAATGAACCCTCCTTTAAGACAGCACAGAGTGTTGTTTTACAGCCCTCCTTTTTTTTTTTTTTACTACCACCCACAATAATAAATACATTTCAGTTTACACTGAGACTCAATACAGGTTCACTAGCTATACCTCTATTTATCTATACTGAAAAGAATTTCATGA